GCATCCTAGTTGAGAGGATCTCTTAGCTCTTGCCCACCAAATTTTTATCCTATCCCACCAGGACTGCCTTGTACACCACCTAACACCAAGTGCCAATGAAAGTCTCCTCCACACCTCATCTGCAAAGTCTCCAGTACTTAAAACATGGTTTGAGTCCTCCTCATGGCTAGTAGTGCAACAATTGCACCGGGACGCCATAGCCACTCCAACTTGACGTATCCTATCATCAAAGCTGAGACTTCCCGACAAAACTTTTTATATCACAACTGAACTCCTCTTAGGAAGAGCGTTATGCCACACCCATTTTGCCCACTCCACCATGGGAGCCCTTACTCTAATCACCTCCCAAGCACTCCTGGTTGAGATTTTCCTTGTACATTTGGTCTCCATATTAGATTATCCCTTCTAGATTTTCGACCTCCAACTTTTTCCATGATGTTTGCAGCCATATTAGCCCCTACTAACTGACCCAACTTCTCAACATCCCAACCAGTATCCAAGCATATTTCATACACCTTCAAGCTAGGTTGGACAATATGCTCCACTCTTTGGCAAAGTGGGCCCTCCTCTAACTAGTTATCATACCAAAACGATATTTTTCCTTCCCTTATCTTCCATTGGCTATTAGCAACCACATCAGGGAAATAATCTACCACAGCTTTCCAAAACCTTGAGCCTACACGACCCAGACTTCCAACATCCACTAAACCCTTAGCTGCATATTTTGCTCTGAAAAAACGAGTCCACAACGAATCAGCAGTAAGCATTCTCCAAGAAAACTTCATGTGGAGAGACTTTTGAATTTCTTCAAACCTACGAACCCCAAGACCTCCTTCCATCAATGGATTACAAATATTATCCCATGAGACCCATTTTTTCCTAGTCTTACCATTAAACTCACCCCAAAAAAATGATGATAATTTGGAGTTTAAAGTCCTAAAAACCGATTTAGGAATACTTAGGACAGATAGTAGATGAGTAGCCATACCGGTGAGAACATGTATTAATAGAACAAGACGACCCCCTTGTGATAACAGTTGCATTTTCCAACCTGCAATCTTTTTTTGAATTTTCTCCATTATGAATTGTAGATGCCGAGCAGTCAGTTTTCCTACAATCACTGGCACCCCCAAATAAATAACTGGAAAAGAACCCTCTCTAAAGGAACTTAATCGAAGAATCTCGTTCTTGTGAGATGCCCTACCATGTTTGCCAAAGAAGATAGCTGACTTCTCCTTATTAATGATCTGACCTGTCCATTTTTCATATACCTGAAGAGTCTCCATTAAATTTTTCATCGATCTTTTACTTCCATTCGCAAAAATAACAATGTCATCAGCATATAGGAGATGCGACACCAAAGGTGCATTACGGGGATGTGAAAAAGCACCAATGCACCCATCTTCAAATTTCTTTCTCAAAAGCCTAGTCAACTCCTCTTCCATGATAATAAATAAATATGGGGATATAGGATCACCTTGCCTTAGACCTCGAGCGGGTTTAAAAAAACCTTGTGTGGTTCCATTCATCATAATAGAGAACCAAGGCGTAGAAATACATTCTGAAATCACAGAGCAGAAAGTATGAGGAAAACCAAAATAACGTAATACATGCAATAAAAACCTCAAATCCACTCTGTCATACGCCTTCGCCATATCCACTTTGACCACCACATTTCCTCCACGAACTTTACGATTCAATGAATGCACCATCTCTTGTGTTAAAGTGATGTTTTTAAAAATGCTTCTTCCTTGGAGAAAAGCTCCTTGTTCAAGAGATATAATTTTTGGAAGCAAGCTAGCCATCCTCTTCACAAGAATTTTTGAAAAAATCTTATACGCAACCGAGCAAAGACTAATTGGTCGAAACTTATCAAATCCTTGTGGAATCTCCACCTTTGGAATAAGCACTATGTATGACGAAGAATAGAATCTTGGTAGAGGGCTACCCCCCAAGAAATCGAACGCTGCTTCCACCACATCCTCCTTGATTATATCCCAACACTGAATATAAAAAGCAGAGCTAAACCCATCCGGGCCCGGGGGAGCTGTCCATCGGAATAGAAAAAATAGCTTCTTTAACCTCGTCTTCTGTAGGTGCCTTACATAATTGATCCTCCACATCAGAAGACATAGACTCCCCAATATACTCTGAAAGGTCGGGTAGAGGCTCCGTATGTGACTCTGTTAGGAAGTTCTGAAAATAATGTACCACTGCATCATGTACCTCTTTGGGAGACGATAACACTGTCCCGTTTGACAAGAGCATATTCTCTATCTTCGAGCTCCTCCTTTTCTGTGCAATACTTGCATGAAAGAACTTTGTATTATTGTCACCCTCATTAAGCCATTTTTTCTTAGCCTGTTGTGACAGGCGTATTTCTTCTCTTTTTTACCATTGTAAGAGCTCCATTTTGGTTTCTAGGAATTCATTTTCCAAAGCCTCTGAAGTGTTCATTTGCAATTCAGCCTCAAGTATCTCAACTTTCTCCTCCAACTCCGATATAGCATTCTCCACCCTACCAAGTACTTGCTTGTTCCAAAGCTTTAGAGCCATTTTTGTGGCTTTCAGTTTAGCAGCAAGCTTGTATAGACCCGTTAACCCCTCACTAATTCCATTTGCATTCCAGGCTCTCTCCACACATGGGATGAAAAGTTCATGTTCCGTCCACATTCGTTGGAATCGAAAAGGAGGAGGACCATAGTTCTCCATAGGCTTGTAAAACTGTACCAGCATCGGACAATGATCTGAAGTATTTTTTTTGGCAAATATCTCAGTTGAATATCTGGAAAAATTCGCATAGCCTCAATATTAGTCAATACACGATCTAAACGTGCCCAGCTTCGCACCAAACCTTCCTGTCCATTGCACCAAGATAACTTTCGACCCTCACAAGGCACCTCCACCAACCCACATTTATCAATGTAATTATTAAAATCTTCCACCACCCCCAAGGGTCTTGGCCTACCTCTCCTTCGTTCTGCGTCATTCCGAATAGTGTTAAAATCCCCCGACACTAGCCATGGCAAACCAACAACACGTAAACCTTCCAATTCCGTCCAGAGACTCCTCCTTTCTAAAGCACTACACTTAGCATACACAAAAGTAAGAACCACACTATGTACCCCTTTTGTTACTATACCATGTATAGCTTGAGAAGATGCCCAAATCCACTCCATCTGCAAATCCTCCCTCCAAAAAACCCATATTTTGCCCACTTCTTTCTCGTTGGTGATACATCTTGCCAGCTTTATTTTCTTTGCAAAGGATTGTACATGTCTCTCACTGTGAAAAGGTTCTGCCACAGCAAGTATAGCAATGTTATGTTTCCTGACCAGTTTTCTCAACCTACATTTGGACGTACACATACCTCGCACGTTCCACACCATTAGCGTATCAATCATAAAATCCAATTTGTTAGGACGTGCTCGTGCCCTTTGTGAATGCCTCACCTTCCGAAGTTGATCACCATAGATAGCTACTGAACCACTCAACTCCAAATCTGACTTGTAATCCGCCCTTGCCACACAGTTGTATCCATCCTCCCCATCTGAGACCACGGTGTTATTCCCCACATTAATATTTAATGTCTCATCCATTTCGACATTTCCTTCTTCCAACCTAAAATCATTTTGGAAATCTTTTTTGTCTCGGTCTTCTTCTCCTCCATTCCTCACCATGCTTTTTGGCATATCGTTGTCCTCCTTAGACTCTCCTCCTTTTGCTGTCTCTGTCCCACTCTTTGCCTTATCATTATCTACACAAGCATTTCCTGTCATTTCCACAGCCCCTTCCTTTTCCTGAACCAGTTCAACCACTTCTGAAGGTCCCTGATTTTCCTCAAGTTTTTCCTGATTAGCCAAAATTGGTTTTTCACTCAATTCCACATTTTCCACCCTTGTATCCTTGTCACCCATCCTGCTGTCATTTATTATTCTCCATTCCTTCTGATTTTTCCCTTTCTCAGCCTTTTGTGTGTTTCTCATAATAGGTTTCAATCCACTTCTACAAACCAGTTCATGATGTCCCTGCCGTCCACATTTTGAACAATAGAAACCCGGCTTCTCATATTACACCTCTTGCCAAATGTTTCTATTTGGAAAAGCAATCGAAAAACCCAAAATCGGTGTATCCATCAAATCAACTTCCACACATATCCTTGCCCCTGTAGCTCTTGTTCGAGTTAGTGTGGCTTGATCCGTTCCCAAATATCGCCCAAATCGTGATGCCAGAATTTTCAAACAATCCACACGGTATAGATGCAGGGGAAGCTAAGGAAGAAAAATCCACTGAGGAGCCAAAGGCGATTCACTGCTCAAATCAAAGTCTGGTGTCCATTTAAACAGGCGAAAATTCCCTCCAGCCTTGGTTCGCCCTTCCCTTGCCCATGTATGAATATAGTCTACCTCATTCCGTAATTGAACCAACACATGCTTCGAATCCATAAAACTCACCATCGGCACCTCTCTCAGTCCCCAAGTCTTGTTTATGGTCAGCCTAATCGTGTCAATGTTTGGCCTAACTGTCAAAAATTTTAGAACCAGCCCAAAGCGAAACTCTTCCGCCAATTTTTTCTCCTCCATCTCTGTAAATCTGAAACCCATGTCACCATCAATATCCACCAAATTTTTCATCGCTACAACCTGTTTCGGACCAGCCATGTCTCCAACTCACGCAGTCGCCACCTCCAGAAACGAACGACTTCCATACGCCCGACCTCCATTTTCCAATTGAGCCACAGCAAATCCCGACTGCCCCACTCCTAGAAGCCCCACTTTCGGCTAGGTGAGTGCCGTCATGACAGCCCCCACCAAGCCCTAATATTTTTGAAGACGAGGGAATGGGTTTTTTAGAGAGAGAAAATTGTGAAATTGAAAATTCTTCACTAGTTTATAGTTCCAAGTGGGTTACTTTGACATTAAATATTTCATTCAATTTTAAATGGTTTTCAATAAATAAATATATCACGTTGATCACCTCGCGGAGTAGAACGTGAATTTGATTGGTCCAGTTATAATTGACGTAAGGGTCCCACTCAAAATGGGACTTAAATTTTACCCATTTCACTAAACCATTTCCAACAGCTTTGCCTAGCGCCCAGGTGTTCTTGGAAAAATACCTTCCCTCAACTGTTGCGAGCTTTGCCTTTGAAGGCC